GATGCAGAAAGCATCAAGAGAAGACGGAAGGAATACACAGAGTCACTGTACCAAAAAGAAATGGTTAATGTTCAACCATCTCAAGAGGTAGCATAAGATCAAGAGCCAATGATAATGAAGGAGGACGTCCAAGGTGCATGGAAGGAATTGGCAAAGAACAAGGCACCAGGAATTGGTGGAATAAAAATTGAAATCTTTCAAGAAAGTGAGAAGGCACAGGAGGCACTCACTCATCTCTGCCAAGAAATTTGGAAGACAACTATCTGGCCAACTATTTGTGCCCCTTCCAAAGAGAGGTGACCCAACGGATTGCGCAAATCATCGGACAATCTCTTTGATATCCCATGAGAGTAAAGTTTTGTTAAAGGTAATACAGAAACGGCTACAATCATACATTGACAGAGAACTTCGAGAGGTTCAAGCCAGATTCAGAAGAGGCTGTGGAATGAGGGATATCATTGCTGGTGTCACATGGATCTTGGCTGAAAGCAGAGAATATCAGAAAGATGTTTATCTGTGCTTTTTTGACTATGCAAAGGCTTTTGATTGTGTGGATCATGGCAAGCTATAGACAACATTGCAAAGTATGAGTATTCCAGAACACTTAATTGTGCTCATGAGGCATCTGTACCTGGACCAAGAAACAGTTGTTTGAAGAGAACATGGGAACACTGAATGGTTTAAAATTTAAAAAGGTGTTCAACAAGGTTGTATTCTTTCACCATACTTATTCAACCTGTATGCTGAGCAAAGAATCTGAGAAGATGAGTTACATGAAGAAAAATGTGGCATCAGGGTTGGAGGAAGACTCATTAACAACCTGAGATATGCAGATGATACAACCTTGCTTGCTGAAAGTGAAGAAGACTTAGAACATTTACTGATGAAGATCAAAGAGCACAGCCTTTGGTATGGATTACATCTCAATGTCAAGAAAACAAAAATCCTCACCACTGGATCAATAAATAACATTCTTATCAACGGAGACAAGACTGAAGTTGTCAAAGACTTCTTTCTTCCTGGATCAACTATCAACACTCAGGGAAGCAGCAGTCAAGAAATCAAACGACGTATTACATTAGGCAAATCTGCTGCACAAAACCTTTATAAAATATTGAAGAGCAAAGACATCAGCTTGAGGACTAAGGTGTGCCCGACCCAAGCCATGGTATTTTCAATATCCTTATATGCATGCGAAAGCTGGACACTGAATAAGGAAGACTGTACAAGAATTGATGCTTTTGAGTTGTGGTGTTGGAGGAGAATATTGAACGTGCCATGGGCTGCCAAAAGAACCAATAGATCGTGTTGGAAGAAGTGCAGCCAGAGTGCTCCTTGGACGCCAGGATGGCCAAACTTCGTCTCTCATACTTCAGACATATTGTCAGGAGGGACCAGTCACTGGAGAAGGATATCTAGTTTGGTAAGGTGGAGGGTCAGACCCCCAACGTGATGGATTGGCAAAGTGGCAGCATTGATGGACTCAAGCGTGGCAACAGTAGTGAGGTAGGCCCAGGATCGGGCAGTGTTTCATTCTGTGTATAAGGTTGCTATGAATCGGTACCAACTCAATGGCACCTACCAACAAAAATGAGTCGGAAGTGATTCCACGGTCCATAGCCACTACCACCACTACCACCATGGGGCCCTGGTGTGACACTGTAGAATGAGCACTGGATTGTTGATGCAAGGTTTGAGGTTCAAATCTACCAGCTGCTCCTTGAGAATCCTATACACGGTGGCTATGAGCCAGAACCGACTCCACGGCACATAACCACCACCACCGAGAGAGGAGCGGGGAGTTGAGTGTGCCCATTTGGGCCCTGCACTTTGAAGCTCCTAGAACCAGGGGAAAACTGAGGCCAAGACACACGGGGCTGCCCAAGGAACGCTGGGCTAAACCGCTGGGCTCAGGCTACATGAGATACTAGTTTGATCTTGGACCTACTCAAACAAGTCACTGACAAAGGTAAAAACTGATCTTCCTCAGTATTATCCGTGCAGTGAGCACCACGGGAAGACGTGGGTCTGTGCTGCTGAAGCTCGCTGGGTCTCAGCACATCAGGTTTGCAGTCTTCAGTGTCTGCAGACAGCGGTTCATGGTCAGAGGCATGACACCAGCAGAGACATTTAAACAAGACTTGGGGATTGGCCTTCAGGAGCAGTCTCCTTCCGTTTGGGCAATGGTCCCCTGTTTGCAGTAACAAACAGAGGGGTCACATGGACCCTGGGCGAGGGGGCTGAGGAGCCTGTTATCAACAGAACAGGCCGCGGCTCCAGGTGCCTTCCCGCCTTCCTCCGGGGCCATTCTGAGCAGCGTTTGATAAGCTTCTTGGTAACAGTATGCTGTGTACACGTTCCTGCTGCGTGGACAACTCAGCCTCTGTAGCTGGTGTCTCCTCTGGACCCGCTCTTCTGTCCGTCGTCCCTCCGTTTGGACACTCCCTCAGGCATAGCAGCTGTGCACGCTGAGATCTGTCCACGCTGAGAGCTGCTGGCTAGTGAGCAGCTCCTTGGGATCTCTGGGTCCAATACAGTTGTTTGGGGTTCCTGTTGTTTTTAGGTGCCATGGAGTCTGTTCCAAACCATCGTGACCCATGCACAGCAGAATGAAATCCTGGCAGGCGGGGCCCATCCTGCACCGCTCCGGGGGTGCCTGCACTGTTTGAGCACATGCTTGTAGCTGCTGTATCTGTCCCTCTTTTTGGTTGATCTTCAACATCATGCTGGTGCGGAGCTGTAGAATAAACACTGGACTGCTAACTGAAAGGTCAGCAGTTCAAACCCACCACCTATTTTTGGAAACTCTACACAGGATCACTGTGAGTTGGACGTGACTCGATGGCACATGGCAACAATGCTCAAAGGGTGCCAAGTTGAATGGATGCCAAAGTTGAGAGAGATTGGCAGGGAAGAAGGCTGAGACGTTTGGTCTGAGCTGCACTGTGTTTGAATGTTTGGGAGGTGTCAGGAGGCAGTCTGGAAGGCCGGCACATGCAGGTCCAGAGCACAGGACTGGGTGGGGCGGGGACATCAGAAAGTGATGGGTGAGGGATAAATTCCGTCAGGGACAGTGTGGGTGCACAGAATCAGGTGAAGGACAACTTGGATGCATGCCCGGCATCTGAGAAAGACCCACTGGTGCCCCAGAGATGCCAACGGAGGAGGGAAGCTGGTCAAGTGACCCAGGAAGGACGGGGCGGAAGAAGGGCGAGGCCAGCATTAGGAGGGGCTGCAGCAAGGTCCAGGCTGACCAGACCGAGTGAGCACAGTGGGATGGGGAGCAGGGAGGTCAGATTCCAGGCCCATGGACAGTGTGTGTGTGTGTGTGTGTGTGTCGCAGATGACCCTGAGTCTTCCGAAGGAAACCAACACAGGCCCACAGCAGCCTCCTCTTGCCTAGGTGTGTCCCAGAGTCACACCCACCTTCCGGAGGTCAGAGTTGATGCTGAAGCCCTGGACAAAGGCATCCCCAGAAGTGGTCAGCTCCTCTCCGGTCAGCATCTTGAAGATGGTTGTTTTCCCAGCGCCATTGATGCCAAGAAGGCCAAAGCACTCCTCTGTTTGGACAGTGAAGGAGACCCGGTCCACAGCCAGCAGGGGCATGTCCGTGAAGTATACCTGGGATTCGGCACCAGGTAGACATGTGGTGAGGAGGCCCCGGCTGGTGTCCCAGCCTCCCCCCAGCTGTACTTCCTCAGCAATCCTGCCCCCTCCTGGTCCTGAAGTAAGCAAAACCCCTGCGATGTGCCTAGTGTTTGCTTGTTTATACAACCGACCGACTGTAGGGACCAGAAGTCTAAGCCTAACAAGTGGGGCCCACACCCACACAGCTGCCTGCATTCTGAAGGCCTCTCAGTAAGCTCCTCCCACGGTTCCTGGGAAGACTGGTGAACTCGGGTTGAGATTTTTGAACGCCCCACCCCACGTGCCCTAGAGGTTCCTCCGTGGATTTCCTTCCAGATCCACGAAAGCATGAAACCAGCACATCCAACCTGCCAGGCTTCTTTGCCTCTTGGGGTTCGTGGCTCTGGTCCCCCTCTTCTGCAGGCCCTCCTGTCTGAGGGAACTCCCAAGAGACAAAGGAGGGTGACCTGTCTCTGAGTGCTCCACACTTGTGGGGACCTCCTGGCTGTGTCCTCCCTATGGAAGGATGATGGGCTTGTCTTCAGTGGGTCAGGCCCTGAGTCATTAATGAGGTCAATGGGCCTAAGCCAAGGGGAAAGATGAGGCAGTCTGCTTCTGAAAAGATGACCGACCGCTCCGGAGCCCTATGGGACACTTGTACTTTGTCCTCGAGAACTTGACGACAGTGGGCTTGGGTCTGGAGTTTACCTTTGAGATTTCTTTAACTACCAGTGGGCTCAGCTCACACAGCTTTCTCCAGTCTGAGTGCTGGATCACCCTCTTCTCCTCTGCCACATTCTGGTCTTCAGACACCACTGCTAGGCTGTGAACCTCCTCCTACACCCCCAAGACAAGGGTGGAAGATGTCATTTGTGAGAGGGCAGCAGGCAGAGACAGAGGGGATCCTATCCCCCTGAGGAGTCCTCTGACCTCGGTTCTCACAGGCACGCACTCCTATTCCTATCTCTACAGAAACTACTGGCATTCTAGGCTGAGCTCATGGAGGAAATGGAGATTTCACACAGCCTCAGCTTCAGAGGGAAACACAAAGACTGGCATTTCAGGTGTAATAAGGGCCCATTTCTTACTCTCCCTCCCTCCCAAGGCCTTGGTCTTGGGGAGGGGAAGGGAACAGACCTTCCTCCAATCGGGTTTATGGATATCTCTGGGGAAGAGGTGCTGCAAGAAGGTGGCTGGTTGCTTGCCTCCTGTCACTAAAGTCCTACGGGGGGCTGTCATAGGGACAGAGGTCACAGGGGACTCGGCCAGACTCTTCCTGCCTCTCCTGTTGAGTCCTTGGGTCCTGGGCATGGCCTGTTGTCTCTCTATCCCGAGGTAGGATCAGATGGCCTAGGCTCCCACGGATGCTCAGAATTGAGGCCCGGCAGATCACAGGAAGGCAGGATGGTGTGGGGTCTGGAATTCTTACTTGATGGGGTCATGTGCTCAACCACTCACCAGATGTTGCTTCCTGAAGGAGGTGGAGACCCTGGCTCTCAGCTTCTTCAAGGTGTTGGTCTCAACGAGGAAGAGCAGGAGGAGGTACAGCAGTCCTGAGATGGCCAGGGCGGTCACATACTTCCCTATCCCCAGAGACTCCCAGGCATAGATGTTCTCTTGGACCACATATCCCTCTGCTAAAGGGGACAAGCAGATGTCAGTCAGCTCGGGACATTCTTCTAAGCTTTTCATTATCGTTCACACAGCGTAGGCAAATTCCGAGCACAGCAAACATCATTTTGAAGAAGCATCATCATCACCAATGCTATCAGCACATCCCAGCAGATGGTAAACATGAAGAATATATGGTTACTTGCTATAACTAATGTTTTATAAAAATGATGCAGTACGGAAGAAAAGGGAAATATAAGAGTTCTGAAGGCACTTCCCTGCCTGTGATGGTTAATGTACGTGTGGACTTGGCCAGGCTGGCTTCTCAGAAGTCTGGTGGACATTACATAAAAGCCTTCATGTCATGATCTCATGTGCTCAGCCAACCAGCAGGAAGGGGAGTTTCCTAGGGGGTGTGCCCTGTATCCAAGGCTTGCCCTCTCTCAATCTTGCGTTTGTCTTGATGGCTTCTGACCTAAGTTTGTGGGATGTGAGAAGCCACCAGCCTGCCACCTGACCTGTAGATTTGGGTTTGTCAGTCCGTCCAGCCTTAGGAGTCAGGCGAAGCCTGCAGCCTGCTGTCTGGCCCACTTAGCATGCTTCACAATTATGTTAGTCATTTCCTTTAAAGAACTCTCTCTCTCTCTATTTGCATATATGCTTCACTGGTTTGAGGCTTCTAAAGAAGTCAGCCTAAAACACTGCCCACAATATGAGAACTATTTGAAATAAAAAAATATTTCTCTGCTTGGTCCTTCCGTCCATCATTAATCACTCTGCAACCTCAGCTGACCACTCATGTGCACAACAGAAGGAAACACTGCCCGGTCCTGGGCCAATCTCATAATCATTGCTACGTTTGAGCCCACTGTTGCTTCCACTGTGCCAGTCCATCTTGTTGGGGGTCTCCCGCTTTTTCGCTGACCCTCCACTTTACCAGCATGATGTCCTTCTACAGGGACTGGTCCCTCCTGATAATACATAGGAAGTCTGAGAGATAAAGTCTGGCCATCCTGGATTCCAAGGAACTACAAGGATTACAGTCTCAGAACACGATGGAGCAGTTCTCGTCTGTTTTCTAAGGTCACACTGAGTTAGCAGGGACCCGACAGCAGTGCGCTTGGTCCCCTTTATATGAAATAACCAGAAGAGGCAAACACACAGAGCCAGAAAGTAGAGGAATCATCGTCAGGGGTTAAGTGTAGAGGAATCATCGTCAGGGGTTAAGTGTAGAGGAATCATCGTCAGGGGTTAAGTGTAGAGGAATCATCGTCAGGGGTTAAGTGTAGAGGAATGGAAAGACTGTTATCAGATAACAGGTTACTTTTTGGAGTAATAAAACTGTGAATATACTAAAATTCACTGATTTGTATACTATAAGTGAATTTTGATATGCAAATGATGTTGTTGTTAAGTGCCACCCTGTCTAGGGCTTCTGAGGAGAAGCTGGTGGGTTTGAACTGCTGACCTTTGTGGTCCACAGTGCAGTGTTGATCCTACAGTGCCACACCAGGTGTCCATGTAAATTATAGCTCAATAAATATGCCATTAAGATTTCCATATCCAATACTCACAGGCTTCAATGCAATCGGTTTTGTTCAGTTTCTTGGTGTTGCAAAATTTCTGGAATCCAAAGTTGTAATATAAGTTGGAGAATGCCATTCCCAGGCAGTGACCCGGAAGTACTAGGAAGGTACCATCCAAGGACTTTGAGATGCTTTTGTAGCCCAGATCTGTGAGGAGAACAGAAGATGGTGACCTTACTTGCAGGAAGGGAAAGGCACCTCTTCTGCCATCACCCTTCTGGCACCCAGACCAGACAGCTTTCTCCCACTCTCAGGATTTGTTCCTTTTGGAGATGCCAACTGTTAATGCACAAGAATCAGAAAGAGTGCCGTGTCTTTGGAACCGTCAGTGGCAGCGTGGCGGGAATGTGGTAGGATGTGGATGTGGAGAGGGGGAATCTGAGGTCCGAGGGAGATGAGGTTTGCAAGTGAGCTGAGGGCCAGCAGGGCATGGTCTCGAGTGCTAGCTGTGAGGCTGCCACAGATAGGTAAGGGCACAGTCCCTGCCAACATGGAGACAAAAATGACCATCCCTGGAAGATACTATACATCATTGTGTACCTGGAAAAGGCAAGATAATCAATCAAGATATAGCTAGAAACAAAAGAGAGTTTAGTAAGTTGGCTGGTGACCTTCTCAGAGGTCAAGAGAAGCCAACTTTTAGGTTCATGCTATATTCAAAAGGATGGTTAGAAGCCTTTTAAATGGACTGTGGTATGTTTTAGGAGTTCTAGTGGCACAGTGGTTAAGCACTCTAATGTTAACTGAAAGGTTGGTAGTGTGAAGCCACCAACTGCACTACAAGAGAAAGATGGAGTCGGCTGCTTCTGTCTAGATCCACACGCCGTGGACACGCCAGGGCTGCAGTCCACTCCGCCCTGCAGGGTTGCTAAGAGTCAGAACCAACTTGACAGCAGTGGTTGTGGTTTGGTGGTGTATTTTAAATGTTTGTTGTTGTTGTTGTTAGGTGCCATCGAGTTGGTATCGACCCCATAGCGAC